GAAATTTTTATGTTCTGATGTGAAATATTATAAAATAATAATTAATATTAAAAATTTATTTTTGAATATTTACTTTTAGAAAACATTTTTTGTACTAGAAAGTAAAAATATTTATATTATTGTTGTTAATATAGTAATTTGCTAATTCCTAACTGTTTTAGACTGTGAGGCATTTCAACATTTTTAAAACACACAAACATTTACTTTTAGCTGAATTATCTTAAATGAAATGATATTATTGAGACTGTAAAACTATGTACTTCCATCATCAAATGCTTAGATGACTTGACACATTGAAAATAAATTTTAAAAATCTTTAATACATTTTATCGGCCAACTTTTACACCTAAACGAGAGAATATTTCGCGCAGATCAGTTTTCTATTTTGAAACCATATGAACTCTCGACTCTCTTTTCCATATTAATGGAACCTAAGTATGATTTTTGTGAAACAGTACTTAATTTTTCTATTACACATATTTTTTTACTTTAATATTTATCACCTTTTTTGTCAGATAATATTAATACGTCAGAGAATACCTGAAAACGCCATGCTTTAAATAAATCATTGTAAAAACATTAAACATATCATACCTTATTAAAAAATTTCAGTTTATTCTAGGGATATTAAAAAATTTAAAATTTTAAGTGGAATTCTAATTTGATAGCAATCTAATTTAACATATAGGTAAAGAAAATTAGCGCTGGAATAAAAATTAAATAATTAATTAAGGGTTAAAATTTCAGTTTCAACCAAAGTTTGTTTCATTTAGTAATGAACCTGGCCAGCTGAAATGGCAAAATAATTCTAGCTGCAATAAAATATCACCATTTTTCAATAAATTATCAAGTTTTTTTTTGGCATAAGCACATTATACATAAGATGTTTCTTATAGTTAGTAATAATAAAAATTAAATATTAAATGAAATATAATCGTGAAAAATACAAAGGATCTGCGTACTTAATTATAAAATATAACATCTATTATAAAATAAGTATATACTTAATTAAGTAAAGCAATTTAAGAAACAAAATTGGAGCCAAAATAAATAATTTCTTTGTGTACCTATTTTATAAAGCTGTAATAAAATAAAATAATACAGTATATAATAACAACAAAGAAATTTAACAAAAGAAAACAAAAATAATTTATTACAGAAATTACAATTCATTTGAACCTTTCAATTAAATACAAGAGTAGGACAAATATGTATGTACCCATAGTTATATAACTCTATTTATTTATATACTATTTACATAATTACTTACTCATAATCAAAATATTCTCTATACGTATTATTATTTTATCTTTTTTTTATTACACTAAATATATGAAATTAAATAAAACTCCACCTTATTTTCTTGCAAAAACAAAAAGCTTAAAAAAAAGAGTTTCTTAAAAACTTTATAAACAAGCTTATTTACAGTCATCTTATATATTTGCAAATAATTTAAATTAAATATGTATAATATATTTACCACTACAGACGCATTCATACAAAATATCTACCCCATAAAAAACAAAAAAACGAAAAACAAAATATCAAATTCAATGGCTTAAGTTTTTTTATAGTCATAATTATATATATGAATGAATACAATATAACTATGTACGAATTTGTGCAATTTATTGACATTTAAATTCATATTAGATTACAAACATCAATACATATAAATATTTATATATCCATATTTACTTGAATTCAATATTCATGCAAATAGTGAATGTTAAATTGCCCTAATTTGGAGAAATAAAAACGCCCTATACACCAGATAAATTTAATCTGCAAAAAAAAACCCATATTTTAAATTAAAAAAAAAAAAATAAAAATTGCAATAGTATTGGCAGCCATATCTATAAAATATTATTATAATTTTGAATTGCGATAATATTGCATGTGTATTTCATCGAATAATATAATACAGTGACGGGTGACGTATACTATAAACTTCTCGCAATCTCATAATTGGAGTAATTACAAGCACTCTTTGTTTACATAAATGCCAAAAAAAAATTAAAGAGAAAAGAAACAAAAATTTGAGAGAATTTAAATTTTTTTTTAAAATTATAATCAAACAACAGTAATTGGCGTGCGGGTTGATAAAATTCTATTACTTTAATTAATTATCTGGTTAATTAGATGAGATAAAAATTAAAAATATTTATTGCTTAATTATTGTTATTATTGATATAAAGGTGAAGAATCGAATTAAATTAATAATTATTTTAAGATTTTTATTTTCAAAATATTAATACTTAATTTTGAAGTTCCCAAAATCATAATTCAGTTCTTCGAAATCTCGTTTAATTAAATTCTTTATATTTTATTCTCAATATACGTTTTATCATTGTGTTAGTTCGTCATTTATAATTCTCTCTTTTCTCTCATTTTATTCCTATTATTTTTAATGGTGTTAGTTTTGTTTTGCTGAAATAAATATAAATTGTACAACTTTTATTAAAACATCTGGTAATCCTAAAATGATGCTTTTGAACTCTTTTATTAGTTTTGCATGTATTTCTTATTTTCCTTTTTTTTTTTAATTTAAAAACAAAAAAGAAACGTAATAAAATAAAATGACAAAAGCAAAACAAAAAAAAATTAATATTTTTAAACAAAATAAAAACTTTTGTTGCCATTTTTATTAAGTTCTGAGCATTCAGTGAACAAAGTAGTGTAAATTTCTCTCATTCGTGTACACAACACATTCGCAAGGATTTCTGCTTATTTTTTTTCGTTTGTTTGTTTGTTGATACACGGAACAATTAAAAAAAACACGTATAGTTTTTTACTTACTATTTTAAATCCTTTTTTTTTTATCAATAATTTTTTTTCATCTTTAAAAAAATCAAAAATAAATTTTAGTTTCTCTTTTTTTTTTTTACAAATTGCAAAGATTTAAAAATCGTTTAATCTTTATAGCGATTTTCTTCCTATACAAAGATTTTCTTTTCGTTTCGTTTTTGTTGTGTGTGCTATCTTAGTCGGAATTGGAAAATTAAAAGAAATATTAAGGAGAAAGAAGAGATTCTAATAAATGTATAACAAAAGCATACAGGATTAATATGAAAGAAGAAGAGTATAAAAAATATAATAAACAAAAAATAATATAATTTTCTTTTTTTGAATTATAAAAATGTAAAGTAAATAATAAGAAAAGAAACAGGAAATGTATTATTATTACTGGTATTTTATACAAATATAAATACATACATAGAAAATTCGGTATTGTATAAGCAAAATATTAAATTTAAAAATGTATAACCTACTCCCTAAAAGTATACATTAAGATGAATTTGCATTTATATTAATACAAAAATCTGTGTGAGTGTTTAATAAGAAAAAGAACAATAAAAAATTTTATAAACATATAATATAAAAGTTACAAAAGAATAGAGCTATATTATGTGTTTATATATACATATGTGTATATAATATGAGAACATTCATTATATAAAAACTAATTAGAATTGGTGTTAGATAATTAAAGATTCAATCTTTTATATATATTAAAACAATCACATACAAATATTATGTATACATATATGTATTAAATATATATATATAGCTAGATATTATACAATCAAACAATATCTGTACATATATATATATGTATGTGTTTAAACCTTTGTATATTGTTCAATAAAATAACAAAAAAAGAAACATAATTCAATAGAATAATTTTGATTTTGATTAAGTTAAACTTCTACTAATACAAAAGAAAGAAAAAGGAAGAAAATTGAATAATAATTAAGAAAACATTTTACATATACATATACACAATGTGATTTTTGAGTATCTTATGCCATGAATAATTTAATTTATAAATGATTTTATATAAATCTAAATGTTTATTTAATTAGATAATTAATTAAGATATAATAAGAAGAATAAGGTTATACAATTTAATTTATCTATATCAGTGAAGACCGATTTGGTTTTTGCATGTATACATATGTATGTATGTACTTAATTAAATTATAACATTACGTTTACTTAGTTTCGGAATATTAAAAAAATTATTTAATTTGACAAAACAAATATGAAAATTTCAATAAATTCTAGTCAGTCGGAAATTTTTGGATTTTTTTTAAATTAAAAATATTTTAAAATTTTTTAATAGGTTCTCAAAATAATTAATTTCAATTTTTGAGCCATGTTTTTTTTTAAGAATTTTTAAAAATTTTAAATAAAATTTTATAATATATCGATAATTGTGTTTTGAATTTTGTTTTGGATTTAATAATTTCTAGTAATTTAAAAATTTATGATTTCATATGTAGCCATAGTAAGTCTCGCAGTAGCGAAATTTTAATCTCTAATAAATTTCGAGCGAATTCCGAAAAAATAATTGAGTATAGCTAATTATAAATTGTGCTTTATTAAACTGAAGAAAACTATAAAACTAAAGAGTTTTACTATTAATACTTAAAGTAAACGCTTTAAGGTATAATCAAAAATTTGACCAATAACGTGTTCTCTGAAACAAATTTCAAGACTTATTGATTGAAAAATCCGTTTTTAAAACCAAAATTAAATGAATATTAAAAATACTTAGTGAATCTTATTTATAATTATAATTTATACTATAATTTAGTTACTATTGAACAAACTTCTGATATTCAGTTTATCCCGTCGGATAACATTCCAATCATTTTGTTATTTTTTATATGATGCCATATAAAAACAAAATTACTTCACAGTTTTTCCTGAATATATTCAGAATCTAAAAAGATCGAAAATTTCAAATTATTTAATTTTATTTTTCATTATTAAAAAAATTTACCTTTTTATTTTTTGTAAAATTGAAGTATGTGAATTGTTCAAAATATGTAATTGAAAATATTATGACTGAATATTTTTTTATAAAAATAATGGCTTTTCTTTACAGAACATTATCAAATACGATTGCATTTAACAAAAAATTTTAAATATAAAACAAATTAAATAAAATGTATATTAAAAAATTAAATCAAATAACGATCCATACAAATCAACATTATAATTAAATATAATAAGTTTTATTTTTACAAAATGATGCCAACAATGGCACCAAATCATCTTTTTACAACACTAAATGGAACATCTAATATGTCATCTTCACAAAAATTACATTTAAAACCAAAATTAGGATTTAGTATTGATTCAATTGTAGGGGATAAAACTAACAATACACAACATCAATCAAAAATTAAAAATTCACCGGCAACAACAATTGTTGTTGATTTATCACCATCATCACCAACCATCAGCAATAGAAGTAATAAATCAGATGATTGTAACAGTCCAATTCAAATACGTTCAGATAGTCCAATGTTTAGTGATAATTTAAATTGTAAAAATTTATTAGAATTAAAAATGAATTCAGTATTAACAAATAATTTAGAAACAAAATTTAATAGAAACTATTTAAATACAATTAATAATATTAATTTATTCTCAAATAAAAACTTTAATAATAGTTCCTTAAATTCACAAAACTTAATAGAAAAAAATAATTTAAATGAATTTCGAAATTTTGCGGCAACAACAACAACAACGAATACATTAAATAAATTTAATTATGAAAATTCGAGTAATTTAAAATTTCCTAATGCAAATGAATTTGATAATGAATTTAATAAAAAATATAATCGAAGTATTAGTTCTCCACCTTTAAATTTAATTCAAAATGGACCACAACTTTCACCGAATGATTCTATTAAAAGTGTTAATGATGATAATAGATTATCATCACCATCAATTTCTACATCTCCATTAAATAATCATATTTTATCTGAAATTAATGAAAGATCTAAATCAAGAAATGATAATAAAAATTTATCAAATTCTACACCGGATTTACAAATAATCAATTCACCAAATTCATCTATTATCACAAATAGTAATAATGATATTAATAATAGCAATACTAATAATAATTTATCAGATGATTTAGATAATAAAAGACCAATATTAGTACCTGGTATTTCTGCAAATAATAATGGAAATTTAATAAGACCATTTCCAATTCAACCATCTAATACACAAAATGGTTCATTGCAATTAAATTCATTATCAAATCAAGATTTGAAAACTATGTCATCTGGTGGAGGTTCAACGTATGCTACTAGCGGAGGATCCTCTAATATAATACTACCATCACATCAACCACCATCACATCCACATCCATCGCATATTTCACATTCTGAATTAGTAGGACAAACACCGCATCATTTATTAGCTGCACAATTTCAAATGGCAGCAGCATTAGCACATCATGGACAAGCTGCTGCTGTTGCAGCAGCATCTGCTGGCCATCCTGGATTTCCACCAGGTCCACCAATTTATCATCCACAATTCAATAATTCGAGTATGATACGTGATAGTTATCCATTATATCCTTGGTTATTAAGTCGTCATGGTCGCATTTTTCCACACCGATTTCCAGGACGTAAGTCAATGATTTTTTTTATAAACTAATAATGACATATTCAGTTTTTTAATTTTTTTTATTTTTAAATTATATTGACATTTCTATTATATTAGAAATTTTTGTGTATACATTTTTTATTATTTATATATTTTGGGTATTATTCTGTATCGCTTGACGCTTCTGATTAAAAAACTTAAGTAACAAAACTGTAAAAATAAAACACATTGTATACAATAATAATGTGATCCTAAAAAAATGAACTGAAATCGATTGACTTCTGTTTTCATTTTGCTTAACACGCTTCGTGTTATGTTGTTATTTATATGTTATTTTTTTCACTATTCTCAAATTTTAATTGAATTTGTTAGAGAAACAGAAAAAAATGAGATATTTGACATTTGACAAGGGTTCGCGCCTATATTTATGTAAGTATTTAAAACATTTTTTTTAATGAATTTTTGATTTCTTTTGATACCTATGCATGTATATAGTAAAATTCTTCTTAAATAAGAACAAAAAAACTATACGAAAAAAAGGGATCGTTTGAGGGATCAATTCGTTTTTATATTCGTGTACCTAAATTTTAACAATTAATCCAATATTTAATTTAAATCGATATGATTTGGGCTCACACCCAATCAAAAAATAAATATTTGAAATTTTACTTTTCTTTTGTTTTCACTTACTCTTCAGAAATTAAGGGATTTTATTTGGAAAAAATTTTAGTTTTTTTTTATCATTTTAGAGCGAAGATAAATTAAGAGATGTTTAAGATTCAGCCCTATAAAATTTAATGTTAATTAACTTATAAAATTCACTTTTTATAAAAAATCGTGTTTTTAAGAATAATTTTTTGTGTCTTTTTTTAATTAAAATAATTTCATGATAAAATGAAAAAATTTAATTACCAAGCATAATCAATGATTAAAGATGTTTCTTATTTGACAAGGATTTTCGGAAGAATACATATATGAGTTTACAAACCACTCATAACAGCAGTACATCGTTGTCAAACTAAATTTGTTCTAAATTTCGAATTTCTATAGGTGTAGATATTTTTTTTTTATTAAAACTAGGATATTTTAAAAATTCACGAAAGTTGTGCATAATCAGCAACAATTTTACCTAATTTTTAAGTTAGTCTATATCATATTTATTTCTGTTAAAACTTATTCCAAACGTCTGCCTGTAAACAAATTTCAAAACCTGGCAAAAGTGGCTTGTTTTTCGGTTGCCAAAATTTATTTAATTTCATATGAGTAGAATTTCTGTAGGCTCGTCACTCACCGAATAAAACTCAATGACGCAAGAAACCGGTTCATATGGTTGTCTTCGATACCAAGGACCAGCTCTATGCTCCTGCCAAGAACGAAATAGAATAAAACAAATATTAGTAGAATATATTTTAATTTTATTTGCCAAATATTATGAAGGCACCTTCGGCTAGCAGCGGTGAAATAAAAGACAATAATTTTATTCAAGTCTTTATTCTTTGGTAACTCTCTTCGAATACTAACTTCATTATTATAATTAATGTGCAATATAGTATACAAAAATATATTGAGAGAAATTATGCTTAAATGTGGTGAATAAGGTGTTGTACTGTTACAAAACAAGAGAATCTTTATTTTGATTCTTTCCATAAATTTTGTTGAGTTCTTGGGTTCATACCGGTTGAATCATTATATCGCATGTAATATATTCAACAGTTCATTTGTTAATGTAAAAGTGATATTATTACAAAGCAATAAAATATGGATACGAATCTTCACCACAGATACGTTACCTTCAACAAAGATAAATAGAGATAAAATAGCCAATAAAATTATTTATGTTATTTCGTAAACTTGTGGCGGAGGGTAAGAGGAATTGAGTAGGTAGGATAGAGTAGATGATCTTGACCGGGAGAATGTAATACCGGAAACAATATTGCAACATTTTTAAAACTTTAACATAAATGACTATGGCTGTAAAAATATTTTCATAAATGAAATCATGAGAATTTTGTAAGGGTATTAATTCTGTAGGATCACTTTGCCATGATTTGGTTTGATTTAAATTCAGACCAGTTTAGTTAATTTGACTTTTTTAAAATAATTATGACTTTAAACCTAAAGCAACATAACATCATTTATGTGATGTTATGAATTTGTACATGCTTTACATTTTCAAGTTGGTTGAATATAGAATTTCATCAAATTTTATATTAAAACCATATTTTAAAAAATTTTCGGCTTAATTAAATAATTATTAAAGTACATATACCATATATTATTACAAATGTGTACAAATTATGTAAAACATTCTAATGAAATTAATATATCTCAAGCTTTAAAACTATTAAAAATGTTATTAATATATTTAATTATTTTTATAACATTATAAATTTACATTTATACGCACTAAATGTTTAAAAGAATTATGTCTCTCTAATTTCCAAACTTGAACAAAATATTTTATACTCAGCATTTACTCATTTATATAAAAACTATTACCAAAAACATTACCGACGCTATAATATGCAGGAAATCGGAATACATATGAACAAAATTTTGATATCCAATATGCAGAATGTTATTGTAAGGGTTTCAGTGTCAAAACATGTTTCCGAATTTCAAAATTAAAATTTTTTTTTGTCGGAATCGAAATTCGAACTTATTCTAAACTGAAAATTATTAATAATCTCATTCTTTCTTTCATTTAGCTTCCCCAAACCAATAAAGTAGTTTGAGACGGTAAAAAGTTTATTTAAAGAATTGTAAATCATTTGACATCTAGCACATACAATCTGGATAAGCACATACAAGCTGTATAACAAATTAAAAATAATTTTTAATCAAAGGTTGCTTTATTCGTATAATCGATTACTATAGATGCTGAACTAATTATTTAAAAAAAAAAAATTTTTTTAATTTATTACATTTAATTTTGTCGCCTTTAATTACAAAAAAAAAATTATCCACCTTGTATTTTTCAGTCGCAAATGACTACATTTATTAGGCGATAATTAAAATGTACTGATTATAATTGCTGTTCCACAAAATGATTAACACTTAATTAAACTTATAAATTCTAATCAAATTATTTGTTTTGAATATAGCTATTAACATATCTATGCTTACATTTAATGTTTATATACATTTTATTTTTAATCCGATTTCTAGTCAACCATACAATCACATATAAATATTTATGCGTTTAGACATGTTTTAATAACATTTTGATTTGTGCATTTTTATAAGCACGTTTCTATGAACATACATATTATATAAGGATGTATTAAGTATATCGTTAAATATGTATTATATGTAGGTGTAATAACATTATTCGATATGATAGTTAACAGAAATAATTTATTTACTTAATGTAAAAACCACTCTATAATCCATATAAAACGTTTAAAATAATATAAAATTGTACAAACATGTGTACACATTTATATACTGATATTAACGTATACATTTATATATATAACATTATGTTTAGTTCGTTAAAGAAGGAACGAAAATAAAAGAAACACGAAACATAAGGAATGCTATGAAAGAGAAGAAAACGAAAAGAAAAACTTGATTGTAATCGAAATCGATGCTGACATGCTGGAAGGCATTGTCGATCCTAGTTACATTTTTGTGAATTCGCACATTTAATGGCAATTATAACAAACATTTTTATAAATACAAACATACATAAATGTATGTTCGATGCTGACACACATGGGTATTTCAGTGCAATATTATACTTACATACTTATAGTATGTAGTTTGAACTTTTAGAGCATGTTATAATTTCAGTTAATTTGCGAAATAAAAAATACAACAGCAATTATGTGTACCTACATACATACAATATATTGTGACAGCATTTTTTTGTAAATTTGTACATTATGCACTTATGTATATGTAACATATCTGTTATTATTTTATACACACATGTATGTATGTATGGATATGAGTGGTAAGGTGAGAATTTGTTTGGGGTCATTACAATATATACTGTATATTTTTGTTTTTTTGTGACATGTCAGCTTCAAATTCATTTATGACAGTACAAATAAATGCCAAAAGAAATTAAATGAGTATTATTAGCCTTGAATTTTTTTTGTTTATAATTTAATCGAAAAATATTTATTAAAAATTTTTGGTTGTAGGTACACAGAAAATTACTGTTCCAAATAGAATAAGATAAATTGTTAATGGGTACGTTTTTTCGCTTATTCAAATTTCCTATTATTTTACATTTATAAAACTATATTAAAAAGCAAATTTTCGAAAACACTAAAATAAATTCGAAAGCTATTTGACTATTATATGTAGAATTCGTATATAGTTCTTAATTGTGAAAAGCTATACCAACTATAGTAAAATATTTTCATCAAATTAATATTGATGTGGTTTGATTGCTATAATATCTGTCAAAAGCCACAAAATTTTAAATTTACATTCTACGTAAATAAAGGATGTATGTATGTATAACTTAAGAATGTTTAAAATTATACTAAAGCAAGTATTTGCTTTATTATGCTGAACACATGCGTATATGAAGCACATACGTAATAAGAGAATAAGTTGATAATAAAAATTTTGTTCAAAAATATAAGAAATGACAAAATCATATTGTAAAATAAAAGTATACTGAAATAGTTCATTCTTATATGGTATATTGCAATGCTCATACTCCGAGTCAATTCTCAATTTGGTCAACAAAATTGATTTTGACATGTAGCGCTGAATCTACCGTATATATGAGCAATTTATTGCGTACGACGGTGAGAAGTAGAGGGGAACACACTTTTTTGAAACCGCGTAGGGCACCAAACAAGTCAGAACCGGTCCTCTACGCATGATTACTTAAACAAAAGAATATTAGGCTCATATTTGAAGTTGCAAATAATTTATGATACGCGTCAATAATATTTTAACATTTTACCTGTGACAATATCTTTCACTTTATTAAGATGAAATGTGATATTATATTGGTAACAGTTTAAATTTGTGATGTACAATAATTTTATCCTAATG